TAAATGTCCCGTCTTCCCGTGCAGAACGAAATACTTAATAATACCTTCTGAAACAATGCGCGCACCCCGGTCTCGGATTTCCGGCAGCTGCAGCCCCAGGTCCTTGGCCACGTCGCCCACGAACGAGCCCTTGGGCAGCTCCTCGGGCACCGAGTAGCGCAGCTGCCCCCACGCCGCCTCCCACGCCGCCAGCAGGACGGCCCAGAGCACAGCTCGCTGCCGCCGGCCCCAGCGCCTCCCCGCCCAGCTCATCTCCGCTGCCGCACAGTCGGTACCGCAACACAGCGGGCAGCTCGTCCCGCCGACCGCCGATCTGGAACCCGCTTCGGCTCCCGCTTCTGCTCTAATTTCTTCCCCGGCTCACTGCTCCCGGCCGCTGCCGCTGGCTCCTCCGCCTCGCTGCAGCAGCGATCAGCACCGCAGGGACGATCCCAGTCTGGCGTCTGCCGAGTCAGAAAGGGAGCGGGCAATAGATCCTGTCCGCAGCGGGCGGGGCTGCCGGCAGCGCTCCGATCCTCCTCCCGCTCCTCTCGGTCAACAGCGGCGCCCGCAGCCTCCTCCCGGCACTGCAGACACCGAGCGCTGCCGAGCGCTGCCTCGACCACGGACAGCTCGTGGGGACAGCGCAGCCCCAAGGAGACATCGGGCCCTGCCCTGCGGGGACCTCCTGCCTCTGCTTTTCTCCAGCCCGCCTCTTCATTGAGAAGCTCATCAAGACCGGTAAGAAGGCAGAGACGTCTTTGTGCTGTTTCTACCGCAGAGGAAAATGTTTTTGTAATGGTGAAACAATACTGATGGAAAATTCTATTAATAAGCAGAAGTATTACAAGTCATAGCCTATTAGTTCAATATCACAATTTCCCTCACTAATTGCCAAGCATTTTCAGCAGCCATGGTTGGATGACATTTTTATTTCCCTCATCTTTTCTGGCAATGTACTTTAATATTGGAATGCCATTAGCAACCTCAGATTTCCAAACCCATGTGATAGCACAAGCCAGAAGCCGACTTTTCTATGTTCAGGTTCTTAAGGTGGTCACGAACCTTATAGTCTCTTACAGTGGGAGGGAATTTTTTCCCCCCAGTTCCTACCTTGAGCTCCATCCACTTGATAGGTCGAAGAAGAGACCTTGTCAGTGATGACTGAGGCAAAGATATGGCTAAGTACCTCAGGCTTCTTGTGGTCTGTTTTTATCAGTTTATTTGTCAGTTGTGTTCATCAGGAGACATACAGGGTTTTAAAACCTTCAGCCTGACTTACCTGTAGAAGTCCTTCTTGCTATTCTTTGCATTCCTTGTAGAGTTCAGCTCCAGCCATGCCTTGGCCAACTTGACCCAACCCCAATAAAACCAAGCAACATCTCTCTACTCTTCCAGGACACTTGTCCCTACTCTCACTGCTGTGCATTTCTTTCTTGCCCCTTAGTTTGACCAGCAAGTCTTCCCTCAGCCACGCTGGTCAGTTCCTCTCTTTTCCCAATTTCCTACACATGGTTTCAAGAGGTCATGCACCGTATGGAAAACATTCCTAATGATCTGCCAGGTCTTCTGCTCCCTTGTTGCTCAGGGCACTTTCCCTTGAGGGGCCCCACTGCCTAACCCTTTAAGTGCTGGAAATTTGTTTTCCTAAAATTCAGGGTCCTGACTTTACTCTTTGCCTGATCTATATCCCTCAGGACTATGAACCTGCATGGCCACGGCAGGCCAGGCTGACTCCAATCTTGATATCTATGATTAAATCACATGTGTTAATAACCAGAAAGTCCAGGAAAGCATTTCCTCTGCTAAGAACTGGAGTAAAGTCTTAATCCTTACTGAAGGGCACCTCCAGTGATCTTCCTGGGAGAACTCAGCAGTGTGTTCAGGTCTTTTTAGACAGGACACTGCCTCCCCCTCTCACAGGGTAAAAGTCATAATAAACTACCTGTTTATGAACTGGCTTGTACACTTGAAGCCTCAAACTGGAATGATGTGTAGTCCTACATCTCTTTAGATGTGGAGAACATTTAGTAGAGGTAACTTCACACAGGAATCCAGCAACACACACAAAGTCAAGCAGATCCCAGTCCCAGGAAAGGGAAAGTGCCCCTGTTCCACTCAGTCAAGACATTACAGGACTTTCCTACAGTAAACCAGTTTTATTCATAATTTTTAGAGTTCCAGTAAAAGAAGTTTGCATGCAGACTTCTTGCTTGCAGGTGTCTTTCTCACCAGTGGCAAGGGGGAACCTGTCTGCAGGTTCCTTGGTTAAAATTAGATGATTCTAACCCCCCACCAATATATCTGTGGAGCAGAACACAGCACAGCAGAGGCCTGTGTCTTCTCAGATGAACTGGATTATGGATCACTTCATTCTTGATGTTCATTGGTCTTCTGGTCAGCATCAGTACACCATTCCCTCCCCAGCACCTACCTTTTCATCTGGGCCTTGTGGAAGTAGTCCTGCTGTAGTCTTCTGCATTTCATGATATCAAAGCTTCTCTCTGGTGCAGTTTTTACTCACTAAATTCCCATCTCCAGGCACTCCCAAAAAATATTTCCCAAGGGCAGTAATTCCTGTTTTGTGCCATTCTTTTCCAAAATTCCTACATCTGAAGTGTTACAAACACCTTGTAATCGCCATTTGCGAATGAAGCTGTCAGAAGATTTGAGAAGACTACTCCCCTAAATCACAGCTTTATAGAAGCTTTAGCACACCTAGGGCAGTTGAGGTAGAGCCCAGTTTCCCCTGACCTGCCTATTACTGGACTCCATCTCAGCCAGGTCAGTGCTCAAAAGAACAATAGAGGCCTGATAGCATTTCCATAGTCCTCCCAATTTTCCTGAGTGTTGTTTCAGCTGCATCCTGAAACAGGAGAAGTGTGCCCACTCACCCACTACCTAGGCCAAAATAAAATACAAAGACTGTCTCCACACAGGACATTCAGGTGTTCTCTTTATTTCAGTTTTACACTTAGGGGTATGCAAGTTTACCATGTTAAACTTTATAACTTCAACAAAACACAGCATGAGGCTTTCTGAATATCCCGTGCATCACAGACATCATTCAAGTAATTAGTTATTGTATATATCAGTGTCAGTCCTTAAGCAGGAAAGGAAAGATAATGCTCAGACTCAGTTCAGAGAATAGCAGGAGAAAGAGCAAAAACGGGGATGAAAATGCTCTAGCACAGAGAGAAAAAATCACATAGCAGCTTTTTACACCCAGCAAGAAATCATCGTATATAGGAACAATAAGAAGACCAACATCAATCTCCTTTCTACCATTTCATATTGATTCTACCCTTCAGAAAATGCTCTCTGAAAGACATATGGAGTTTTCATGAAACATAGCCAAAGGAAATGAACAAGTTTTCAAAACTTTGTACAGTTGTAGTAAACCAAATACCATTTGTGCTGTTATATTTTAGTATTTCAAATAGACAGAACACTGAGCACTGCTTTATAGGGCAAAAATAATATTTTGTTGTACATTTTACTCTTTTCTCTGCCCTGGGGAGTATAAGACTCCTGTTCTGAGAGTTCTTGCCAGCTGAGCTGCAATTGCCTGCATTTCAAAAGTTGGATGGGAGCAACTCCACCATTCACCGGGCAGCACTAGTGAACCGTATGCAGACAGACAGTGGCTATGGTGACTGACAGGAAACCAAAGCACACAGAGCTGACACATCTTAAACAGAGGCATTGAGAACTCAGGGAATAAAGAGCCCAATCCTCACACAACATTGTGACACACTACTCTCAATACCATTGCATTCCTCAGCTTGGAAAGCAGTTTTGTATATTTTATGAAGGAGGAGAACTGTCTGTCAAACAGTGCCCTTGTGTCACAGGAAAGACAAAAAGGTCCACTGTATCATTGGACAGCAAGAGAGACAAGAGCATAGGGGGAGTGGCAAACCTATTTTTAAAACCTTTAAGAAATTGCCATCCAAAGCTAAAACATATTATTGACATACTGAGAGCACCTGAGCTTCTTTTATTTCCTAGGTTGTGTTTTCGGAGTGCCAGAAAAATTTATTCAGACTTATAGTAAGGAGGAAGTAGATTACAGCAATTGAAAATACAGATTTACTACAGAAGAACCATTGCCACCAGCTACAGCCTGCATCAGTTTCTACCACGGGAATTGAAGCCTCAGGCAGTGCAGAGCCCAGCTAGTTGAAGGAAAGAGAATTGAAGTGTCCTGCAGAGAGAGTGCCAGGATTGTCTGGTGCCGTGTCCTCGGTGCTGACAGGGACACAGGGGAAATGCTGTTCATCCTCCGGGCCCTGGCCCACGGCGCAGTGCTGTGGTGGCACGCTGGGCAGGATGGGCTTGAGGAATTTGAACTCGCTGTTGCCCGAGCCCGTTGTGAGGCTGATCTCGTAGCAATAGGCGCGGGGCAGGCTCCCTGCAGCGGCCCCATCGGCCAGGCCGCTCTGCAAGTTGTCGGCACCATAAAGCACATGGCCAGCCTTCAGCTCCTTTCTCTTGCACACCTTGCGAGCCACAAAGAGTGCGGTGGAGACGAGGAAGAGCAGGGAGACACACACCAGGGCAATGATTAAATAGGTGGTGAGGGAGCCAGCCTGATCCTCTGGCGCCGGGCTGCTGTGCCCGGGGAGGCGCACGTCTGACAAGTCCTTGAGCAGGAGCGCGCTCACAGCTGCCGTGGCCGACAGGGGCGGCTTGCCGTTGTCTCTGACCAGGACAAGGAGCTTCTGCCTCACGCTGTCTCTCTCCGTCACCGGCCTCCTCAGACGCACCTCCCCGCTGTGGACACCCACCGTGAACAGCCCTGGCTCGCTGGCCCTCAGCAGGTGGTACGAGAGCCACGAGTTCTGCCCGGAGTCGGCATCCACGGCCACCACTTTGGTGATGAGGTAGCCCGCCTCGGCCGACACGGGCACCAGCTCACTGGACGCTGGGCTGCTGTCCTGGCCTGGGTACAGCACGAGCGGGGCGTTGTCGTTCTCGTCCAGCACCACGAGG